GGGGAAACGCGGGGGGGCAGGGGTGGAGGTGCGACCGTGTTTAAGGCCCGCACAGGGCGGAGCAGGTGCGACTTACCCCGCCCGCGATGGCCACAAAATGCTGCGCGCCCCGCTCCCCCCCCCCGCCCTCGGCCAGCCACATTGTGCGGCCGGGCTGTGGCCCACCCAGGTGCAGGGTGTCGTGGCAATTCCCTGAGGGCAGAAATCGAGGGGTGGCGGCCTCCGTCCCGCGGCGCCGATCGACCAGACCAGCTGGGCATCCGGCCCCCGCCCCCCAGCTAAATGGGGTGGTAACAGGAATAACGATGCCCGGGCGAGGTCACACCGGGCGCGACATCACTCACGGCGCGCATGAACACCCCCCCCCCCCCTCCCCCGCCTACAGAGTCCCCCGCCTCAAGCCAAACGCAGACACAACGTCCCCAGGCGCGGGCCAAGTGGGACCGTTTCCGTAAACACGGCCGGGGGGGGGGGGGGGGGGAGGGCGGACGCACCCCCGGCTGGCTAGCAAAAAAGAGACCGCCGGGCGGGAGTTGGCCTCGAATGTATCTGCCAACGGACAGGGACTCCGCAAAGCATCCCCCTCCCCCAGGCCCGGGTCCAGCGGCCGACCGGAGCGCGCGCGCGCGGCCATTCCACACACGGGGGAGGGAGGCAGAGCGCGTGCGCGCCCGCACACGGCGCATACCCGCTTGGATTCGACACAAACACACGCACAGGCATGCATATGCACACTACACACAGCCCCCCGCCCGGCAAGAGGGGGAGAGAGAGGGAGGAAGGAGGAACAAGTCTATGTATTGGGAAATCATCTCACAAGGACAGGCGCGCGTGGGCAGGCAGCTGAAGGTGGGGGACGAGAAAGAGACCGAGAGGGGGGAAGGGGCGCAGAGGGGGAGAGAGAGAGAGAGAGAGGCCCCCTTTAAACGAAGATCTCGTTGAGGATGGCAGCCAGACGCAGGCCAGCCATGGCGATGCCCCGCATGACGGTGTCGCGGTTGTCGAAGTAGTAGTCGTCACCGAGCTTGTCGTTGGGCTTGACACCGCCCCAGACGTCGGGCAGGTCGCAGTGGGCGCTGTTGGCCTGGGAGGCCCAGAACTCCGGGCAGGCAGTCGGGACCAGAAGCGGCACGCCGGAGCCATCGCGACGGGGGCAGTACAGCCAGTTGGCAATCTCATGGCTCCACTCGGTCTCAATGCGGTGCAGGGCCAGGGACAGGTAGGACTCGGCATCACCACCAATGTCATCCATGTGGCGCACGAGAATGCGCGAGTCCCAGATGCTGTGCATGTTGGTCTTGGTGCTGTACCAGTAGACGGGGAAGTCGTTGCCACCGCGGTCCTTGCCGTACACTGGAGAGGGGCAGTGGGGAGGAGGAGGTGCTGTCAGGAGGAGAGGTCGCCCGTCGAGGGGGGGATGGAGAAGAAAGGGAGGGTGGCGGCCCCGCGTGTGCGTGTGCGCGCGCGCGCGCGCGCGGGCCACACAGGAACAGGCAAGAAGAGCATGTCCGCGGGATGCGGTGTGTACTGTGGCACTGTGGCACTGTGGCGGGGCCCTGGCTCCCTCTTCTGGCGGGACTATCGCCATCCCCGCACCCCGCCGCCTGCCGAGTGGAGGGGGGAGAGAGGGGGGGAGGACGCAGTGTGCCGGGAGGGGAAAAAAAAACAAGGCAACGCCCGGCAAAGGCACAATCAGCCAGACGCACCGTGCATGGGGTTGTGCAGGTCCTGGACGAAGTGAGTCAGGAACTTGAGGGCCTCCTGGCGGGTCTTGGTGCTGCCGTTGTAGTCCTCGGTCAGCTGCTCGGTGTAGTTGTAGACGGCGCCGACGACGCAGTTCTTGCGCGGGCAATCGCGCGACATCTGGAAGGAGCAGGAAGTCGGCGGGTTGTCCAGGGTGGTGACGTAGTGCAACTCGGAGGCCCACTTGTACTTGCTGTCACCCTTGATGTTGTCAGCCCAGGTGGCAATGGACGGCAGGCCGCCCGGCCCGACGAGGGTCTCAACCGCCTGCGTGGCAGCGGCGGTCAGGTTGAAGGTGGCAATCCAGGCGCTGATCTCGTGGCCTGGGCGTGGGAGGGGGGCGGGGGGGGGCGGGGGCGGGCAAATGGAGGGTCAATACTTCGCCCTACCGGGAGGCGAGCGGGCAGAGCAGGGAGGGGGGATGCAACATGCGCATGGCCACACACCATCGAAGCCCCAGAGGCGGTCCTCGCTGAAGTGGTGGCGGCGACCGGTGGGGAACTTGGACTCGGCCAGGATGGGCGCGGCGAAGAGCAGGCACGAGGCCAGCAGGGCAAAGAGAACCTTCATGGAGTTGCCGAACATGGTGATGTGTGGCGACCCGGAGGGGGTGGGGAGAAGGGCGAAAAGGGGGGGGGGGGTGCTCTCACTGCGGGCGCTCGAGCTGCAGGGAAGGGCCTTTTGTGTCGCCTGCGGGGGCGAAGCGACGGCGGCGGCGACGGCGACGGCACCGGGGGACACACACACCTGAGGGCCCCCCTGCCATGGACCTCACCGTGCACGCAGGCGTTCGGAACTCCAGACGGGCGGGGCGAGGCACGCCGAGCCGACTCACACAAGCAGGCACGTCGGCCCAGAGGACCGGGGAGTCTTGGTCCCGGGGCCCCCCCCCCAGGAGGCGGGGCCCGAGATCGGGGCCCGGGCGCAAATGGCGGGGGCGGGCGGAGAAGTAACGAGGCTGTGCCTGGAAGAGGGCCTGGCCATCCGCACACACAAGGACCCGGCAATGATGGCGCTCGTGCCCGGGTGGGCGGAAAATAAAAAAGACCGAAAAAGGAGCGCGTGGCAGCAGGCCGGGGGCACCCTTCCCCGAATGCGGCCCGACGACCGGCCCCCCGCCGAGAGGCAGGGAGCGGATGACACACCGTGCGGGTTCGACGTAGCCCGGGTCCCCTGGCCCGGGCCTAGCCACGGCACCCCGACCATTCCGCGCAGGGCGGGTGGGCGCGCGCGGGGGAAAGAGCAAGGGGCCAGAGCGCATGAGAACGCGCCATCCCCCGCCCCGCAGGCCGCCCGGCTCGCTGCGCTGCACCCCCTTTTTAGGGCTGGCGTGTTATTCATGCCCGCCCGGGGGTGCTGGCATTCCCTCGGCCCACCCCCCCCCCTCCTTGTTTTCCTCAGGGCGCGGGCGAAATGAATAAAACACAGGCCGACACGGCGGAGGACCCCCTCCCAGCGGAGTGCGGACGCCCTCTCCTCTGGATGCCAGCGTGGCGGGGGGGGAACGGGGCGAGGGGAAACCGGCATTCATAACGGGACTTCCCCGCCGCCGCCGCCGCCGCCCCAGCCCCATGTGCTTCACCCGTGTAAGAAGCACCTTGAGTAACTTGGGAACGCCCTTCCGGTGCCCTTCTTAACCGATTCTGTCACGCCCCTCTGGCCTTAAGTCATGTGCCGGGGCCCACTTGTGGTACCCCGACCCGTACTTGCCCCCTGCGCGCGCACACCCACCCACAGGAGGGCCCCAGCCTTTGGCGAAAGCCCGAGAGGTCGTCGGGCTGCGGGGTGCGGTCACTTTTTATTACTCGCCACCGGGCCAGCCTGGCCACTGCCCCACACCGCCCCCCCCCCCCCCCCCCCC